TCATTCCCAGTAGGGGAGATATGAGATAATAGTGCTTACTGTGTTGCCCACAGCAACAGATAAAGTAAAAAAGTAATTAAGTTATACAGACATATTGCCAAGCTTCCAAAGGCCTCAAACTGAATGAAGGTCCCAGGCGAAAACAACAGGTGTTATTTGTCTAGCTTGAACCAGTCCCGGTTGACACCAGCGCTAACTGAGCTTTGTTTATGGGAACCCAGAGCAGTTCCCCAGACAAGCAATTTTCATTAATGGTTACGGGGGGAGGACTGTGAAGGTAAAAGCTGTCTCCTTACCACTGGGCATAGGTAGAGGCCCCACCCCACCCTTGTACCTACACAGTGTATGTCTCCCCTATACTGGAGTATATTCTAGGGATGGGCATGTTACACGGCTTCAGCTTACAGACTTCAGTCAGAGAGTTCCACCTCTGAATCTGGGTGGTAAAGGCAATAATGTGTGGGCATGCTCACGACCACCTTCAAGTGTTACCGCAGCCCCAGCATGTTGTTACAGTGTGACAGCACCACCTCCCAGGGGGGCATGAGGAGATTGGCCGTACAGTATTAGAACTGGAAAAGACACACATTGTGAGGTCAACACACAGTTCATACAATTACCTGGATTGACCAGTAAAAAAGCCTGATGGGACTTAACAAATAACTGTGGACTATAGCAAATTGAACAAGGTGATGCCACCTCTACATACTGCAGTGCCTTCAATCCATAATGTGATGGACCACTGGACTATTTTCCTGGGAATGTACCACTATATAGTGGATCTGGCAAACGCCTTCTTACCTATGGACATTGCACCTGAGAGTCAGGAACAGTGCGCTCCACTGTTTGCCATGGTCTTATAGCCCAGGATTTAACACAGTGGGACTACCCATCCTCTGTGGCCCTGTTTCTTTATGTTGATAATATTTTACTAACATCTGATTCTCTTTCAGATATAGAGCAAGCAGCTCCCTCTCTCCTGTGCCACCTAAAGCCATGTGGCTAGGCTGTGAACAAGAAAAAGTTCAGGGCCCTGGCTTATCTGTAAAGTATTTAGGTGTTTGGTCTGGTAAGACAAAGGTTATAGCCGAAGCTATATTAATAAAATACAGACATTTCCCCAGCTGACCAAGGTCTCCCAACTACAAGCATATTGGGGCCTGCTAGGGTATTGGCAGTTGTTCATTTCCTGAGTCTCACCCAGCTGCCAGCAATGCTGTAGTGCAGACAGTAGTGGTCTGCTACAACAGCCTTCGCTGTTCTAGCTTATAGATGCAACACTCCAGTTTCCTTGCACAGGGCTGCTTATGGAAGATACTTATCGCATCGAAAGTGGGGCGAGAGCCTGGAAGGGTATAATGTTGGGTCAGAGTCCCAGAAGACAGTTACATATAGTGTCGCGGTGGGGCCGCTGTGGCGTATCCATCTGGCTACCGCAGAAAACTGGACTTACTTGCAAGAATAGAACCCCCGGCAAGAGGCCTGGGTCACAACCTGGCGACACGTCCTCTCTCGCATGAGGGCACAGAGAAACCGCACCGAGCCGTGGCTAACCCATGTGATATAGGATGGATAGGGGTGGCTCATTAGTGTAAATGTGGAGCTTACCCAGGTTGTTCCTCCGGAATTGGAATGATAGACCAGCAACAGAGACATGGGCTATGTGCCTGCAGCCTTATACCAGAACATAACCTGAGTACTTAAAGGTTGTGTATGATAGAACAGCCAAAGGCAACAGGTGTTGGCCACCACCATTTTTGTCCCAAAAGGGAGCCTACAGGTTTGTGGCTCATGTGGCTGTAAATATATTACAGATAATAATAATTATATATATATATATATATATATATATGTATGTATATACAGGTGTTGTCTGCCTTAGCTAAAGAGATTGATGGCATTCAATGCCTGACAGGAAACCCCCTACAAAAATGGTGGGCTCACCTTTCCTTCTCCTGGAGATGGGCCATCTCCCTTATGGGAGGAGGAGCATATCTCCTAATGACTTTCTACTATTCCTTGTATTACTGTTGCTCGCTTTGGATACAGGGCTCTGCCCTGCTCACACGGAGGCCTGAGACGAGAACCCCAGCCTCACTGGACAAACAGGCCAGTAAGGAATCCTGAAGGGGTAGAGTGAGGGAAGGAAGAGTCATTCTGGCCCCCTCACCTGGTCATTTGGCGGACCTGCAGCAACTCGCTGGGTACAGACAATGGAATGCAGCACAGGCTCTGGCCATCTCAGGGATATTTATGTTTATGTGCCTTATGTAAGCACCTTGGCTGTGTGCCACCTTTGTTCCCACACTGTATATAGCCCGGCCATTGTACCAGGTGAGTGGTACCTAGAGAGCTAGTGAATAAAGTATGTCTAATCTGCCTTTGGCTCCACGCATCTTCTTCCAGCTCCCCAAGTCACGGACTCCTTACGCTGGGACCATTACACTTCCTGATAATGTCCCTGGCACCTTTTAAGCTGCGGCCCCAGGGCTGGAGCTCAGAGTGAGTGAGTCCATCAGTGAGTAAGTCCTTGTGTGGACTTAAAGTGCAAAGCCTGTGACTCCAGCAGCCTTCCATCTCACTCAGCCACAATCTCCACTGGCTTTCAGAGCCAGAAGCTGTGGGGACTACTCTAGGCATTGGATCCCCAGACTGGGGAGCCTGGTGTTGGGATAGGACCCCTTGCTCCTGAGGGACGGCCTCTGCCACTAAGATACCCCTCCTGATTTTCAACTGCCACATGTAGTGTGGGGTTATCCCATTTTGCATCTCTACCCATCCTGCCAGTCTCAACATGGCTTCTTCTGTATATCCTTAGTTATAGGACTTCTGTTCAGCTAGACTTCAGACAATTCTCAATGATAGTTGTTCTGTTGTTTGGTTTTAATTTTGAAATGGTCACAAGAGGAGGCAAGCACAGTGTTTTCCTACTCTGCCATCTTGTCCAGAAGCCAAGTTATTTTCTATTTTAAGTGAACGTTATCATAACCCCATGCTGATCTAATGGATGAATAAGCCAGCAGTGACTCTGCCATTCAGAACTTATAGAAAGCTCAAGAGTGTTTAGGAAAGCCTGTCAAATATTCCTGTTAATTGCTGCAACCCCAGTGTGACATGTTTGCAGTATCCTTTCTATGCAGGTCACACAGCATTCCTACTATGGCAATTTGGGGCACTGATTGTGCTAATATATTGTAAGGATCATTATGCTGATTTTTGCTGATAAGAATACAAAGAGCTTCAATCTGGAGCTGGGCTGCCATGAGTCGCTGGCGATGGCGTAGGCTGCAGCCCCTGTGGCAGTGGGTTGCCATGGGCTACCGTGTGTAGCCAGCAGCCAGCGTGAGAGGCCAGCAGCCGCAGTGAGCAGCCGTCCAGAAGCCGG